CTTCTTCTACCCCAATACATTCTTCAAGATGGCCGACGAAGTTTACGAGGGTGCCATTGGTATCGATCTTGGTAAGATGAGATTTTTTTCCTAATTTTGAAGATTGTGGATGAGGGGCATAATTTTCTCTTTGTCAAAATCTTCAAAAATCTCGCAATACTCCTTCAATATTAATAACGAATACTAATCATCTATGACGCGCAGGAACCACATACTCTTGTGTTGCTGTTTACGAGGGAACCAATGTTGAGATCAGTACGTATTCCTCTTTCTCCCGGAAAATCGATTTCGCAAATCGGGCGTCGGCAACCGAGATTTTATACTGATCGATATCACCAGTTGCCAACGAGCAAGGTAGCTTCACCACCCCATCTTTCGTTTCCTTCACCGACAAGGAGCGTTTGATCGGTGAGTCTGCTAAGAACAATGCCGCCATGAACCCAAAGAACACCATCTTTGATATCAAGTCAGTATCTCGACTTTCGCGACGACAACAAGGTATTAATAGATATACAGGCGTTTGATCGGAAGAAGATTCGATGATCCCCACACCACAAAGGTATTTACTCGATTTTATTTCATCAAGATTCTCAGAAATCGAAACATGCTGGATTTTGCAACGAAAATTCTTCATTTTTCTCCCGGATGTCTTGTATCAAAAAGCAGTCACTAACGCATCCTCTAGGATATTCAATCATGGCCTTTCACCGTTGTTGACAAGGATGGATCCCCATTCGTTCAAGTTGAGTATCTCGGAGAGGAGAAGACCTTCTCCCCACAAGAGATCTCATCTATGGTTTTGACCAAGGCAAGTTTTTCACACCCCACTCCTCGGTAGCGAGTTTGCTAACGATGCCTGAATTACAGATGAAGGAAATCGCCGAAGTCAAGTTGGGCAAGAAGGTCGAGAAGGCCGTCATCACTGTTCCAGCTTACTTCAACGACAACCAACGTCAAGCTACCAAGGATGCTGGTGCCATCGCTGGTCTTAACGTTCTCCGTATCATCAACGAGCCTACTGCTGCTGCCATCGCTTACGGTCTCGGTGCTGGAAAGTCCAACAAGGAGCGTAACGTTCTCATCTACGATCTCGGTGGTGGAACTTTCGATGTTTCCCTCCTTAACATCCAAGGTGGTGTCTTCACTGTCAAGGCTACTGCCGGTGACACCCATTTGGGAGGTCAAGATTTCGATACCAACCTCCTCGATCACTTCAAGAAGGAGTTCACCAGAAAGACCAAGAAGGACTTGTCCAACGATCCCCGTGCTCTCCGTCGTCTCAGAACTGCTTGCGAACGTGCTAAGAGAACCCTCTCCAACGGTGCTTCCACCAACGTTGAGATCGATTCCTTGTTCGATGGTGAGGACTTCAATGCTCAAATCACCCGTGCTAGATTCGAGGACCTTAACGCCAAGGCTTTCTCCGGCACTTTGGACCCTGTTGGACAGGTTCTCAAGGATGCCAACATTGATAAGAGCAAGGTTGACGAAATCGTTCTTGTCGGTGGTTCTACCCGTATCCCAAAGATCCAAAAGCTCTTGAGTGAGTTCTTTGACAACAAGAAGTTGGAGAAGAGCATCAACCCTGATGAGGCTGTTGCCTACGGTGCTGCTGTTCAAGCTGGTATCCTTTCCGGAAAGGCTACCTCTGCTGAGACTGCTGATCTCCTCCTTCTGGATGTCGTCCCACTTTCCCTCGGTGTTGCCATGGAGGGTAACATCTTCGCCCCTGTCGTTACCAGAGGTCAAACTGTCCCTGTATGTAAAATCTTACGAATTTTTCCAAAAGCAATACTGACTCATTTATTCTAGACTATCAAGAAGAGAACCTTCACCACTGTAAGTTTGTTCCCTCTACAAATACTTCCGATTCTTAAGCTTCGATTCAACATTTGGCCCGGTTTCATTCTTCAACCTTATCTGATTGTTCAACCTCCTCTGATTATCTGAGCGCCTTTGATTGTTTAACCTTGTTTAAACATTTGAATCTGTTCGGTCATCTGATTTGGGTTGGATATTCGAATTCGTTTGAGTATTTGACCTGGGCTGAATATTTGACTTGGTCCGAATGTCTGAGTCCTTGGGAAAATCCCACGTCATTTCAATATTTCACGTGATTCCAATGTCTCACGTGTCTTGGACATTTGACTTCAAACATCAACCCCCTTTGTACTCCTCATATGTTAAAGACTTAATGGACACTTGCTAATGCCCTTAAAGGTGGCCGACAACCAGCAAACTGTGCAATTCCCCGTTTTCCAAGGAGAAAGAGTTAACTGCGAAGATAACACCTCCCTCGGAGAATTCACCCTCGCCCCTATCCCACCAATGAAGGCAGGTGACGCAGTTCTCGAAGTTGTCTTCGAAGTTGATGTCAACGGTATCCTAAAGGTCACCGCTACTGAGAAGACTTCCGGACGTAGTGCCAACATCACAATTGCCAACTCCGTTGGTAAGCTTTCATCTTCCGAGATCGAGAAGATGGTTGCAGATGCTGCTGAGTTCAAGAGCAGTGATGATGCTTTCAGCAAGAGATTCGAGTCCAAGCAACAACTCGAGTCATACATTTCAAGAGTTGAGGAGATCATCTCCGACCCAACTATGTCCATCAAGTTCAAGCGTGGTAACAAGGAGAAGATTGAGTCTGCTTTGAGCGATGCTATGGCTCAACTCGAGATTGAGGACTCCACTTCTGATGACTTGAAGAAGAAGGAGCTCGCTTTGAAGAGAGCTGTCACCAAGGCCATGTCCACTCGTTAAAGTGTGATTTGAGTTATTGGGTGGTGGGGAGGATTGTGGAAGAAGTTATTGATGCATATGAGTTCATGACACGGATGAAATGGACTGGACCCTCTGGTCACAGGCTCATATTGGGTTTATAAAAAGTCACTTATCCGTTATTTGCATGGTCGTCTGGCTATTTTACGGTTCCGATATTTCTTTGATGTTTGTCTACAGACATAAAAAGATTGTCCGTAGACAAGGGGTGTTAATAAGCAAAAAAATATCAAATTGATCACGTTAAAAACTTTATATATGTTCCGATTTTATGCTCTATTGTGTTGACATTGCTACAGCAAAGCTGAGAAGGTCATGAAAAGGAAAGTGTTCCTACTCAACGTTCGAATGTCTCTTGAATTGAGGCAACGCAAGCGCTTCGAATATGTGGCCTGCATCACAAGCAGGTAAAGAGATAAATTCAAATTTCACGATGATGGCGGCGTAACACCGCCCCATATTTGAAGATATTAGAAGGTCTGAATCACATTAATATTATGAGAATTATTAAGGTATAATCTAGACTACAATAAACATGAACCATGAGAGTACAGGGTTTGAAATGAATGAGACTGTTTCTACATTCTAAACCCCAAATTCAAGAATGGGAAACGCGGCATCAGCGACCCATCAATATGTGTCTTTAAGTATTTAACAGTATGATTCTCATATGTTTCAATGAACCAAGTACCCTCTGACCTATCTGACTTCCGATCAAGCAACCATCCGACGCTTGTTGTCTTCTCCAAAGTCCTTCCGTTGCCCCGGCCACCAGGCTTCTATAACCTCGTAATCTCGCTTGTTTTAAAGTAGCATCCTCAAGAAGGCCTTTTAAAGCAGGCCATGCTTCTAAACATAAAGCTCCAGGTGAATCGTGACTCATTGGGTGGCGGTAACGAAGATCTTCAATCCAACAATTGGAGGCACCTTCTGTTAGGTATACCTCAAGAATTTGGAGATTTCCTTTGTGGATACAGTCGGATGGTTTTTTGACCAGAATATCATGTTTGGACCATTGCAATGTGGTAATTATCAATAAGCGACTCGAATATAGGGCATGTGAGAAAGACAGGGAGAGGGTGCGCACATGACGAGGTCGAGATCGAGGTCGAGGATTTATTTTGAGGTATGCGGGGTGCATGACGAAGGAGAAGGAATGCAAGGTATAGTACAGGCGATGAATTTTGAAGGAAATATCTCGATTAGCTAGGAGGAGAGAAAGTGGAGGTGGTTGGTGATTGCCTCCTGCGTGGTTGAGGTCGTGTGGAGAGAGAGAGAGAGATGGTGAGTTTGAGAAAGTGGTCTTTGGGAGGGTGAACATGCTCATAGTCTTTGTACCAAGACTTTTCGTGGAAGGGCGGGAGTTCAGGGGGAGCGAGAACGTCTCGGGTGAGGTTATCGGTTAGAATTTTATAAGGAAAGCCGTCGAGTCGATGCTATGGGTGGATGGTGAGATGGATGTCATCGTAAAAATGCTGCCAATCCCTTTTGGAGATTGGAGATGGGGATTATTGAAAAAATTGCATTTGCCGAAGATATAAGAAAGAATATGTATATGTATCCTCACTTCCTAATGTATTAAAAAAATATGACGTTTGAGATAATAGTACACCTTGCTGTTGGGAAACTTAATCCAAACCGCTCACTCTTCATGAAACTAGACGAACGTAGCTGTACAACTTTTTAGAGTTTAACCATCTTGACAAAAATGCATATGTTTAATATGCATGCAAGTACATAGAAATCATAAAATGAGCTCCTCCCGTCCTAGAGCATTAGGAGCAGCATTCTATTCATTAACCTATGTATTAACGGGACAGAACAATAACACCAAGACAGCACCTTCCTACATGTCAAATGTAGGAAGGTATCAAATCAGACAATAAATGATTCAAAATTGACAATCAATTAAATGTGTTCGAGGAATTCGATTTCGTGACCATCTGAATATCATGTATAAATCGACTACAAATTGTAGCCATTGTGAAATGTCAATATGTACCTAGGTACTCAAGTGCTTTCAAGATGTATGCCATTCGAGGCCGTCTCGCTGTCTCGCTGTCAAGTGAAGCTCGCTCAAACGCACGTACCAATCCCCGCAATATGCAGATCCATTAAGGCTGAAATATTATTTTCAAGACAGACGAGGCCTCAATCCCGCCTTGTCTGAAATTCTCACAGTCACAATTCAATTCTCCATTGTTCCTCACATTCCTCACAAAATGCCACCTCGTATCTCTCTTCGTCCTGCTCAGGCATTGAAACGCAACTTTCTAAATTCCAATTCACAAAATGCATCAATTTTAGAGATACGACCCCTCCAATTGAGCATACCCACTCGATATCAGAACACCCCTCACTACCGTTCCCTGAGCAGCAGCTCTTCTCTCCAATTTCAATCTACCCAACACTTCTCAAGAAAAAAGACAAGGGCAATAAAAGCTCTTCATCCGAATCAGATAGTTCCTCCTCAACCTCTTCCTCCGCCGCAGCAGAAGATAACGACCCTTTCGATTTTTCCACTCTACAAGCTGGAATTGACAAATCTCTAGAGAAACTCAAGAATGATTTAGGGAAATTACGAACTGGAGGAAGATTCAATCCGGAGGTATTAGAAGGACTACGAGTTAAGTTAGGGAAAGATGCGAAAGAAAGTTTTCGGTTAGGTGATTTGGCGCAGGTGTTGCCGAAAGGGGGACGAAGCGTCGCTGTGCTTGTTGGAGAGAAGGATGTATGTTGATTATTTCTTCTATCTGTGTTCTGCATCTTTGTCCTTCGAATCTCTACATCCCTATCCCTAAATCTCCAATTATAAATATAAACTAACTCTCAACCTAGCACATCAAACCTATTCTCTCCACTATCCAATCTTCCACCCTTTCCCTTCAACCCACACCCGATCCACACAATCCTCTCGCTCTAAACATTCCCATACCACCACCTACCAAAGAATCCCGAGATGCAGCACTGCAAGCAGCTTCAAAAGCAGGAGAAATAGCCAGCAACGGGGTTCGTAATGCGAGAGGAGCTATGCAGAAAAAGTTAAGAGCGATGGAGGTAAAGAAAACAGTTAGACCTGATGATTCAAAGAAGGCGCATAAGGAGATGGAGAAGGTTGTAGAGAAAGGGAATGGAGAAGTGAAGAAGATTGTTGATGCGGCAAGGAAGGGAATGGAGCAGGCTTAGAGAATTAGGGGGGAAGGGTTGTTAGACGAGGGAAACGAAGTTGTTAGAAGAGGTAAAATGGTCTCGGAGAAGAGAGATGCATGTTCTAAAAGATTTTACAAGCCAGGACTGTGATATTATGGAGATTTAAAAAGTTGAATTTTTGACGGTGTGTGATCTTTTGTACAATACCATTTTTATATTTTTATGAATACACTGTATAGGACATAAAATTAACCTATATCGTAGGTCCTTCGCCTTTTTTATATTGGCTACCTCATCAGCAGGTAACATGCTCTGTAGCTTTTCCGCAAATGACCTCGAGTCATCTTGCAAGAAAGTCTCGTTCTTCCTCGAGAGCCTTTCAATTTCGCCATAAATGTTTTTCTTAACCTCTCCTGGTTTTGGGTACACACCCGCAACCATTTCCTTCAAAATTGCCTCTTTCTCTTCCTCCTTCAATCCTTCAACCTTATAATCTTTGTGAACCTTCCACCTAACCTCATTTCTCCAGGCCTCCTCCCCATCCCTCCATTTCTCTAATGTCTCCTTCTCCTCTTTGCTCTCAAATACCGTACCCATACCCCTTTCCAAATTCGCCAAATGTCTTTCCGGCGGCGTCGGTACATCCTTTTGTGCCAATGTTCCGCTCACAACTTGCATCTTATAAATTATCGATTCCTTCAATCCGTTTGTACTCGAACTTGTCGCAATTGCCGGGCCCCAACTCTCCAAATCAGACATTGAGGTAACTGGATTATAAAAGACGAACTCTCCTCCCTCTTGACTATCCAAATATTGTTGTTCTTCAACTGTATATGGAGGATCATATTCATCCAATTCCACATCTGCGGGTTTAGGTCCTGCACGAAGACGAGGTTTTCCTCCGCGTCCTCCACGCCCCCTCGTCCTCCCGTGCAGAAGCTCCTCTTGCACCACCGGGTCCACTTCTCATACCTCCTCTTCCAGCTCCAGCTCCGGCCCCAAGTCTTCCAGTACCAGCTCCTCCAGAAAGCGCACCCCCTCGTCCGCGATAATTGGGACTATGACGGGCACCAGGTGCTCGAACTCGTGGACCACTATCATCGATACGACGGGAAATAGTAAAAGTTTGACCAGGAGGAGGACGTGCTGCTAGTGAGCGAGCGTCGATTCCGCGGGAGGGTTGTGATGCAAGTGAGGAAATGTCGGCTGTGGCAATGGAGCTGCGTTCTGCGCGAGTGGAACGTGGTTGACCTGGCTATTGTTAATTTATTATGATTCTTACCCATAAGCTAGGGTTTTAAGTCAACTACTCCCTGATCATGCTGAACACTGAGTGAAGCTTCGAACCCTCCGAAGAAAGATGGAAACTTACTATTATCATTACCCTTCCCCTCCTCACTCCTCCTAACAGAACTACTAAAAGCCCTCAAACTCGCCTTAATACCCTCCGACACCCTCGTCAAATCATGTCCCAAAGGTCTGGCACCTCCAATCGCTGATTGCACATGCCGTGTGAACATGATGTGTAGCGCTTCTTGTCACTTATCAAATCGTCCTCTCTCTCTCCCCTCTATCAATCTGGAGATTCTGATAAAATATTATGTTTGCCTTAGGCATCAATGCATATCAATCAGTAAATTCAAACGCTAAAGGCATGAGGCTATCTGCACGGTTGTTCAACGTGAACAAGGCAAGATAGTAGCCTCTCACAAATCCTTCAGTACGCCCGAACGATTGTTCAACAAAACTCCTTTCAAAATTTCAAGGATATTCTTTTCGAGACCGTGAAGGTTCAAAGTTTTTAGATTTGCGAAGAAAATTATACTCTTTCCAAAAGCCCCATATTTGGTAGCGCAGACAGGCGTGTAACAAAACTTTTGGAGAGACATTGACCCCCCACGTTTTCTCAGTCTTGGATTGTTTAGGATATCAATAGCATACTACCACATCCATATTGACTTCGAGAATATTGTTTTCGCATACGGCCCACGACTTGCTACGAGTACAACGGAACTAGAAGGTTCTTTTTTGGCAGAGAAGTAGACGAGGAGCTATATATTTGCTATCGAGCACCCACCAAACTCAACATCAAATCGACACCAAAGCACGAATCAATCTTATTATATTTCTCCAACCATCTCACTCTCACAATGCTCCGCCGCGCGCCCACAACTATAACTCTCACTACCGAGGATATAGCCATCTACGAAGACTCTCGGCAAGCTGAACGAGATGAACAAGCAGAGCGAGAAGCCATAGCAGCAGCAGCACGCCACAGAAAAGCCAGACAAAGACAAGATTTTGGAGCTGTCAAAGGGGATAAATACAGGGAGTTGCAGGCGATAGCTGCGCAGAGGAGAGTTGATGCTGCGAGAGAGAGAGCTGCTGGGAGGGGACTAGATATGGAAGGGGATGGGAATGCGGAAAATGAGAATGAAATAAGTGAGGATGAGGATAGACAGATTTTGAGGGAGAGGGAGGAGAGGGCGATGAGGGAGAGACTTAGGGAAAGGGAGGGACAGAGACCTACGAGGGTGTTGCAGAGAGCAAGGGAGGAGAGGGAGCAGAGGAGTAGAGAGGAGAGACTGGGATTAGGCGGTGGAAATGGCAGTGCGTCAGGGAGATGATTTGTGGTGATCAAATGTGGTGATTTTTTGTTCAATGATTTCATGGATATATTTGGAGAAAAGTATAGGTTGTGGATATGTTTGAGTATATGGATACTGGAGTATATTTGTATTATATTGTTGGATGCTAAGGCGCAATGGAGTCACACATTCGATGGACGAAATAGATAATGCTCCCAAAAAGTATGCAATTCGAAAAATGAACAAGGCGGCTTGCTTATCGGAATTTAATTGAAACATTAAGCTATCTTATGTTGGCTTAGGAAACCACATGATTGTCGAACATAAACCGGAACACTGAAAAGTGCCACGTCCACTGTGTGATATTCTGCCCTCCTCAATTCATCCATTACCCAGCTATTTGCAATTTCCGTCTCATCTCCCCCGAACTCGTCCCCCCATATGTGCATCCTCAGCCCCCAATCCTTTTCTTAAACGGACTTTCACTTCTGTATCCTTATCAGTCCTTCCAATCACATACAGCTAATACCTCCGTTCATCCCAACCGGGTCTTGATATCCAAAAGCCCTAGACAATCTGCATCTGCATCTGAAACTTGAAATGACGCATCGAAAATAGTCATCTAGAACACTACTAGGTTTTGTACATTGAAAGCGCGCATGATCTAGATAGAGACTAGAATGTCAGACCATGGCGAGGGAGTGGAAAGGCGATGGCGAAATATTATCAGATATAAAGAGCAAGTTATTTGATTAGGACTCTCGATCTGAAGAATGAACAGAGAAAGGAGTCTTATGTTATACTGTACTTCCTGCAAACCTTCACCCCATTGAAATTTCGAGGGAACCCGAGCAATCAAGCCTCGGAAGCACTTAACAAATACCTGAGCACATCACATACAGTTCACAAAACCAAAATGAAGATGCTGATTCATCTGCATTTATTAGCTAAGTAATCTGGAGTCTATGTTTACTCGGTCAGCATTTTATAATACTTCCATCCTCCCGTTTGAAGAAGCATTCAGAGGACAAAGGAAGCCCAAATGTCTCCGTTCTCGTCATGACCGATTGCAATCATGTGACAAAAACAAGCTTTCACAAAAACGCCTCCATTTTCTCCTTCCTTCCGGGTGTATACCTCTTGAGAAGAAGCCAGCCAATCCAGCCCTCCCTTATGTACAAATTTGCGAAATCATTTATGACCGAGACGCCTTTTCGCTAAATGCAGATCAATTAATGCCAAAGAAATAAAGGGAAGTAAAAAATATAAAGAGAAAAGAAAGAATCTCGTTCTTCAATCCTATCAAGAGAATGAAGGTTTGGGTTTGGGTTTGAAGTTGAGCTTAATGGTCGTCTTCTTAGGTACCGCCGGCGCATCAGCAGGAGTGGGAGGTGCCTGCGAAAGATTTTGTGCCGAATCCGGTAAAGGTTTTCTGCCTTCGGGGAGAGGTTTTCGAATAGTTGCTGAGCCCGGAATTGAATTTGTTGACTTCTTGAAGTTTGAAGATGTGTGGGTTGACGAACTAGATGAGGTAGAAAGGGCAGGACTAGCCCTAACCGGTTGTGCGGATGAAGGTCTCGGGGAAGGTCTCGGAGAGGGTCGTTTTGGGTTCGAAGTGGATTGGGATGAAGATTGAGATGATAATGAAGCTTTCGCTGCAGGGTTGGGGGTGGACGCAAGAATCTGTTTTAACATGAATGGAGGAATCTTGAGTTTAACCATCTTCCTCTGTTTCTTCTCCTTGTGCAGCGAGTTTGAAACCTCATAATGTTTTCTATCTTTATGCAACGAGCTAGAACCCTCATATTGTTTCTTGTCCTTATGTAGAGAATTGGAACACTCTGCAATATCAGCTGGAAGAGGTCGTTTAGGTGGTTTCATATCACCGGATGAACTAGAAAATTTAAGTGAACCAGAAGATTTCGATGCTACTGAGGGAGGGTGCGTAGAGCTATAAAATTTCGATCCACTTGAAGAGCTTGAAGAAGGCTTAGAAAGTCCAGATGTCGATGTTGAGGAGCCTGAAAACTTAGGAATTGCGGATGACGATCCTGAAGAGGTTGAAGACTTGGGAATTCCGGATGATGATGATGATGATGATGATGCTGCTGAGCTGGAATGCTTAGGCACCCCAGAAGATGATGTGCCTATCTTGAGACCACCGGATGAGTTGCCAAACTTAAGAGCAGGTGAGTTATTAAGCTTGATAGCAGATGGTGACCCAAGCTTAATGGCAGATGATGGGGTGCCAAGTTTGATAGCAGATGGATTGTTGAGTTTGTGAGCAGATGAACTGCCAATTTTCAACTTGAGTGGTAGCGATGGTCTTTCTAGCGTTGGTGCTTGAACGGGTTGAGCGACGGTGGAGGTTTCTACTGGTGGATGAGGTGTAGCAGCAGCGGCGGGTTTGATCTTCCGAACTTTGGTCCGAACTTTATCGGTGTGTTT